GAAGAGGTTGGAGGTGAGATCCTTAACTTCAAATGGTATTTATCCAACGTCGTGAAAATGTCACCTCTCAAGAGTAGAAGGAACTGGAATAAGCAATCTTATATAAGTTCATTTCTGATTCACTTCCTCCCATTTGTTCCGAGTCGCCAAGGGGTAGAAGCCTTTTTTTCTGATTTCTTTGCAAGCATTACATAAGATTAGATAGCTAATTCAATTCATCCTACCAGGGTCACATCACTTCCTTCCAGCGGGTGAGACAAGAGTTCATGTGCCAAGCCTAAGAAGCTTAGACTTCTACCTCCCTGCGACAATCATTATTCCCCTAATCACTGATTCTCTAGCACCGTTGTCTTCCTAGGCTAAAAGTCCTTACTCCTCCTACACTTAAATCGATGGAACTTTCGATCTATACAAAAAGAATTGACTTACCTTCTAGCATTCATTAGAACTTCTCTTCTTTACAGAGATTTTCCCTTCTAGTAGCAATTCTGAAGTGGATATAGGGGAGATATCAATCTCGTTGTGGGCCACAATTAAAAACAAAAAAATAAAAAGAAGAAGAATCTCACTTACCATGTGACAACTAGGTTTGGGGGTCATTTTAGAATACCTAAATTTTCTACTCTATTACTATTATTATTTTACTTTCCACATTTCTTTGTTATTGTTAGGTTTTAGGTTGACTTGTCTTTGTGGAATATACCGGTTCCATCACTTCAATTTTTAAAATTTTAACATTTATGTTCTCTACAAAAAAAAAGAAGGTATCCTTATGTATGTTATTTTTGTCTATTAATTTAGATTCATTTATTGTTAATAATGATAAATATATTTTTGAAGGAATGATTGTTTGCAATTTAGATTAACTTTTTTACCATCTTTCTTTGTGCTATATGATCATGATTTTTGTAGATCCAAATAAAGTCTTTTGTTCTTATTTTTTAACCTATAAATGCTATAGTATTGAATCAAAATTAGGATAAGAGATAGAACCAAAATATTCACTACAAAGAAGCAAATTCTATTTATTTTGATGACATATATTGTAATAAAAGAAAACCATATCTCATGAAATATGAAACATCATAACTCATTGTTATAGAAATTATGGTACTTCGTAATAAAGGAGATCCAATGAAATTCAGAATAAATTGAATATTGAAATTATTTTTTTGTTCGTTTTTCATTATATCATATTTAATCTCCGACTAATCCTAATTTAGAGGAACACACTCTAACAATATTTTTCATATCCAAGGCTCAAACTCGAGACCTCTGATTAAGGATTGATGAATCATATATGTCCCTCCACAATTGTCGTTGGCACTAATAATTAACACTCTCTTGTATATCCTACAATATGATTGAATAAGTTTTTTTGAGTTCTACCAACAACATTGCACTGGAGAAAGAAATTAATATAACTTCATCCTTGACCAGAAGTGTCAAGGTATGAGTTATCTATGTTAGAAGAGATTTGCCCTCAATTTGGAACTTTCCATTATCCGAATTTCATTGTGTCACAATAAGAATATTAGAAACCAAGTAAAAAAAATATTTCCTTCTTGTACTTATGAAAATCATATATTAGAAAAAAATTATATTGAGGGTAAGATTAAAGATTATGAGATTAGTCTCATCAAATCTCCATCATTTTGTTAATAACCAAAAATTTTCTTAATGAAAATTTTAAATTTTATTTGTTTATTGTTCTCTACACATAAAGTATTGATTTTATATTTATTTTATTTCTTTTTTGTGCTATTAATTTATATTTATTTAGTATTTTATTACAATAATGTTTTATCTGAAGGTGATGATTAATTGTCAATTAAATACTTTTATGCCTAATATTCGTTGTGGTGTATGATGATGATTTTATAATTTCAAATAAAATTTTTGTATTATTGAATTATTAAATGGCATGGTATTGAATAAAATCAGGAGTAAATTACACTTAAAATTTACTAGTAAGATGAGAATTTTATATATCCTCATGCTATATTTTTATATTCTTATAAAGTTTCTTTTAAAACATATTGAAAGGCAAAATATAACACATCTCAATGAAATATTAAATATGATAACTTATTATAATTATTATAAAAATTATCATTCTTCAAGATGAATGAGGTCTAATGGAACTTCGAATAAATTATAAATTGTACTTAATATCATTTTCACTTTATTTCAATATATTATATTGAATTCCCAGTTAATTTGGATCCTGAGTAACAATCTCTAAAAAAATTTACTTCATATATAAGGCTCAAACACGAGACCGCTGGTTAAGGATGGATAGACCATATACATCCCACCATAATTCTTGTTGGTACGTACAATGACTTAATTTACTTTCTCTATAATATTTGACAATATGTTGGATTTATTTATTTTGTTTTACCAAAAAGGATTATGGTTGAGTAGAAGTTAGTATTTCTTTATTCGTGACCAGAAGTGTCGGACTTGAGTTTGGAGCATAGGTTTTGTTCGAGAGGTTTACCCTCAACTTGGGACTTTTGACTATCCGAATTTAATTGGATCCTAATAAAAGTATCCGACATCAATAAAAAGTATTTTCTTCTTGTACTTATGAGAATAAGTTATTTTGAAGGAGAAAAAGTTGAGAGTAATCTCAAGAATTGTGGTATTAGATTCATCAATCCTATATCTTTCATGAATAATCACTCAATCTCATAAATAAAATATTTACTTTTTTTTTGTTTTTTACTCTCTGAAAATAAATTATCGTCTTCATATTTTTTAATTAATGTTCTATTAATTCAAATTCATTTAATGTTGATGATAATTTTGTTATGATAATGATTAATTGTCAGTTAGGTTAATATTATGCCTAGTTTTGCTTATGTTATATGATGATGATGATTTTATAGCTTCAAATAAAATCTCATGATCTTATCTTTGAGAGGCTAGCAAAAAGGACAAATATATTCGAACTTCATAAATGACATGTGAATATCCTCTGTTATATTTTAAGGTTGTATATATCCTTACCATCATTCTTGTGCATATCCTTGAAGCTAACAGATGGACATGTGGCTTCATCTAAATTATTTGCCCAATTTTATTTCTTTATTCTTTACCCAAAAATTAAAAAATCCATCCACCCAAAACCAAAATGGATGATGTTAAAATCCACTCTTCATTTTATTCAAAAAACCATCCCTTTATTGTTCTGAACCCACATAACCATGGAATGAAGAACTCATCATTCAAGAAAGAAGAAGACTTGTTCACTAAAACTACACTCTTGCTGACAAAAAAAAATCAACTTCATTTAGTGTAGGAATCTAGGTTATTGGAAAATCCCTTTCAACAATAACAAATCGATTTGAGCGTGTAATTTTCTATGATTGTCAACCCACTTTAAAAGGTTGAAGCTTTGTCTATCAATAGCAATAATATTTTCTCAACCCCTTTCATTAACAATAAATCAATTTGAATTTGAAATTTTCAATTCAATTGTAGACCCATTTTAAGCGTGGCGTTTTATCCATCAATGGCGATATTGTTTCCAACCCCTTTCAGCAATAATAAATTTACTTGAACTAAAAAGGGAATTTTAATTGATTTCTTGATTTCCATTGAGATGATATGCTTTTTGATTTTTGTTTGAGAGATTTGGAGAATAGTGCTAATGAAAATAAATTGAATAAATTTTTTCCTTTAGTTTAATTTTTAATTGAGATGAAAGGCGTCTTTTATATTTTCTATTTTTAATGTCATGGTACTTTAATTTTTCTCATAAATAAATGATAAATATACATCGAACTTCATTATACTTTTGGGTATATTTTTCATTTTCCCTAAAATATATCACCCTACCCTAATTTCATTTATCTGACGCCCCACTACCTCCATCTAGCCGGCGCGGTCAGTGAGCCATCGCATCTCTATCACTTCTCTCCGGTAGAAGATCCAAGCATAGAACTTCATTAGAAGACAAAACCTAAAATGAGAAATCCAGAACGACTAACCGGTGATTTCATTCCTAATACACTGATTACTTTTGTGAATTTTTATTATTTTCATTTTAAATCTTTATTAGAGGTTGTAATCCATGTCTATCATTATTGTTTGAGCCACATTTGAATAGGCTGTGTATAATCTATTAATACTTTATGATTAACAAGTTGCTAAAGCTGATTTTAATTTTTACTGTTGATGCATCAAGGTTGTTTCAAATTGACATGTACTCACACTTTAATCATGTTCCATAAAATATTGTTCAACTTGTTTTGGTTGTAATAAGAATTAATAATCATGTTTACTCCGTAATGTGATTTGCTTATCTACTTTCATCATATCTACAATTTCTCTCTTAATAATTTATGATTAACAAGTTGCTACAGCTAATTTTAATTTTTACTGTTGATACATCGTAGTTGTTTCAAATCGAGATGTACTCACACTTTAATCATGTTTACTCCGTTATGTGATTTGGTTGTTAACTTTCATCATATCTACAATTTCTCAATAATTAACTTGATCATTGAGAATTCCTCTCCCTTGAAATTTGATTCGCAAGAGTCATATGTCTAAATTGGGCAATTAGAGATCTTTCTACTTGTCTAATTGTTATTGCTTATTTGAATTATGGTATTTTCATCTTCCTTAGCCGGTCAAGATGTGGTTAGTAGCATACTTTATTTGACGAAAGGATTATGGAAATTGCATATATCTTTATGTTTCTCTTTTTATGCTTTTTACGAATATGCTGCTAATCTAGAGGAACGTTTTCATTCCATTGGCTGATCAGCCTTCCTTACTATATAATACGAATTTTTTTCTCATGCTCCTGATTCTCCATTACAATATAACTATAACCTCTTCATCGGAGTTCATTTCTTTTATTGGATACACTGATAAACCGAATCAGCTTTTCTCTGTTCTCTTGTTCTTTGTTGATGGTTGTGTACCAATATTGTCTACTGATGCTCGGATCTTGTTGTGTTTTCTGGATTGTTACTTCCTAACAGGTTAGTTTCTATCCAAGTACTCTTCATGCTTAATGTGGTAATTGTATTTTTCATTCTCTTGTCGCATCAAATGTGTGTTTTGGAAACTCAAATGTGTAAGCATTCCGGGAGAAGCAAACAGGTATGTCCTTTTATATTTAATGTACTTTGATAAGTTTTCAGAAACTTTGTGCATTAGAATACATGTTCATAGGATTTACTCATAATTTAACTTCAAAGCTTGTTGCTCTTTTTCTTGTTTGTTTGAAATCATGATTTTCATCATATACCTTTGGGGTTCACTTCTCAGTTTACTTACCAAATAATTGTTAAATGAGGTAGCTAGGAGTATTTCTTACTTTTCCAGAAAATATGTTATGCTCTATTTTCCAAGATTGGTGTGAAATCTGTACTTCACATTTTGTAGTTCTTAACAAGGCCATTATTGAAGTGGGCTTATTAGTGATTCCCTCTCTATGCTATTGTGTGTGCTTGTAGGTGTACAATTCTTTTGTGTGAACAGGGCATTAGTTCGATATCGGGGGCATTGAAGAGTTGTCTGGGACATGGGAGTTTTCAAGGATCGTCTAGTCAAGCCTACTCGTCTCGAATTCATTGTCTTTTCTATTTCACTTTTGGGTTTGTAATAACTTATGAACTACATTTCTTGTAATATTAAGAATAAGTGCTTCTCTTATTTGGGTTGGGGAAACATTATGTGCTACACGTTTCTCTTTTCAAATTTTTATGTTCAATTGTTGGGGAAACATTATGTGCTACATGTTTCTCTTTTCAAATTTTTATGTTCAATTGTTAAAGTAGTTTTCATTTTTCTTATAAAAGCTATAGTCCAACTCTTTTTTAAGTACTTGAATTGGACATGTTGCTTTTGATTTGACATATGGTAAATTACTATTTTCTAACCTAGTTGTGGGAAAATAAAAGGAATTGAGAGGTTTAATTCCAAATTTTTAACAAAGCTGATGTAATGTTTGGAGTTTTGCTTACCAAAGATTTTTCTAAGTATATTTATGTGTTTGTATTTAAATCGAATCTTTCAACTATCCTTTAAATATTATTATTGTGTTCTAAGATTGATCTCAAATAAAAAATAATTCTAATGTGGACCATGGAAGAGTGTGAATAATAATATCGTGATATTTTTCCTATAAAAAAACAAACATTTGAAGACTCCTTATAATCTCTTGTGGATTGGCTAAAAATATTAGTTGTTTTTAAGCTTACAAATCATTTTCCTTTATAATTATGATTCATCTTTGTTTAGGGTAGATTTATTAACAATTTCACCTTTCCAATTTTTCATATCTTTGGTGTTAGTTTTATCTGCTCACTTATTTATTTTCTTTACTAATTATTTCCTGTTATGAATATTTATTTTTTTAAAAATTATTAGACTCACATGATTAATTTATTTAATAATAAATAGTTATAATTTTAATGTTTTTTGTTAATTAATAATCATTTATCTTTGTTATGTTAGGCTTTTTCCTACTTTATCACATAGTTTACTTTAATTAACTAATTGATGCCCCTTTTGGTTGCCATTATTTGTACCTATCGCTTAAATAATAAACATTTCAATTTATTCAATTACCTAATCACCTAGTTTTGTATTAATTTAGATAATAATGTATTCTTGCTTAATATGTTTACTTGTTTTATGTTTTAAACTATTTGACCAGTTCAACCAACTGCCCATCCTTTTGCATTTGCTACTAATATAACTGCCTCTCATTATTACTTTGTGTCCAAGTGGGCCTCTCCTTAGAGTTCTTACGAAGACTCTGGTGGTGCATGTGTATGTTAGGCACCCATAAGCGCCAAAGATACGTGATATTGTCATGATAAGTGTGGAAAGTCGATACCGTACTCGATGATCGAAGGATCTATCGATCTGCATTAACTTTCTGTGGCTAGTAGGGGGAACTTTAATGTAATTGTGTAGACATTCATAGCTTAGTAAAATAGTAGCCTTTTTTCTTATCATATATCACCACATAATTTATAAGATTCGGTTGGGATCCACTTTTATGGACCTTGAAAGGTGTCTAACACCTTACTTTTGAGATAAATGTAAACACTAACCTGATCTCTGATTGTGTATAACCCTTTTTAAATAATTATTTGTTTAGTATAGAATGATGTCCTAACACACTTGTTATTTTTTAGGTAGCGAGTCTTCTCTATTCAACACCTAAAAGATTTGTCATGTCGTTGCAAAATCAGTTTTGTCAAAAATATGTGCGACAATATAAATTGGCAAGGTAACAAATGATTGATCATGTCGATTAGTGAGCATTTGAAAGGACTTTTGTATGGTTTAAGTTGTAGAATTTAAAAGACCTTATGAAGTGTTCATTTTGAAGTTTTTGGTTTAGAGTATGATGTAAAATGTTATGAATTTTTGGAAAAAGGATAGCATTAGTAAACAGAGTTACAAAAATGAAAAGAAAATCTTGTATATTGAAGAGTTCAAAAAATTTAGAATTGTGTCAAGGTACAATTTAAGAAATGTAACGAAATGAGACATCACGTATAAATCCTTGGTTCGACATATACTTATAAAGGGTTTATCAACGACTCTTCTAAAGGGTTGATTTTGGTTTGGTGAGAACCAGAGATGTATGGAGGATTCTATCTTTTTATATTGGCTTGGAGTTCAAATTATTATAGGTGACTTGTGGGTGCACTACATGAAAGACTCAAGTCTACATGGTTATGAGAATTTTGATTTGAATTGATATAAAAAATACAAGTGAAACATCCGATAATCAAAATCTCTACATTTGAAATCATAGCCAACTGAACAAGATATCAAATGGGTGAAATAAACACATGAATTAGGAGAAACAAACAAATAGAACTACAAAATATCCCATGAGGCCAAGAAAAAAGCCAAAAGGTTAGGAACTATATGACGACATATGAGGAGGAACTCCCTAAAGAAGAAGAGCATGAGTATCCTAGTATCTTTATTGTCTCTTCAGTTGGAAAACAAAAGGTTAGAAAGCGGTAAGAGAATACAAAGAGGACAAGAGGAAAAAGTCAGTTGTTGGGAGTTGCAAGCTTAAATATCAGACGAGACACCTCTAATGACACCATCAAAGTAACTACTACATCCACCAGGTTATATCCCTACAAAAAAGGTCAACAAACGAATCGAGAAGGAAATGATAAATGAAATCAATGGAGTCAAACCTCTATGAACTTAGAAAGTTGGGAAGGATGACAATCCACATAAAGGTGTTGATAACTCAGGTCAGAAGGAAAAGGAAAGTGGAGTTGAAGAGAGATCCATGCGATAACATTGTGGAGTTGAAGAGAGCTCCATGCAACGACATACATGTTTATTTACGAACCCGATCAATTTCTTTTCTGTTTGTTTATGTTGGGCGATCTCTTTTATACAAACTTTTGAAATTGAATAAAAGGAGAACTTACCTTTGTTGTTAATTTAAGAAAAACAAGGAAAAATATATACATGTTGACAATCAAGAATACAAGTGAAATATTTAATAAATAAAATCGTTATATGTGGATTCTTACATAATCGAACGAAATGCAGTCAACCTAGAAAAATATAAAGATGAGAGACAAGATAGTAATAAACAAGAACAAAATATAGCAAAAACTTAACAAGATATCAAAATCATAGCTTTCAAATACAAGATACAACGAGGAGGATAAGACCAACTAAGTTTGTGCCCAATGTACTCCTCTTTATTGAACTTGAATGCTTTGATTTTTGTTTCTTGTTTAGTTTTGACTCTCTTTTTTCTTATTTATGCCTATCTTGTCTCTCGTATTATGTGTTTCTAGGTTGATTGTATTTTTTTCAATTGGGTAAGAATTAAGATATAACAATCTTGATTATCAGATATTTCACTTGTATTCTTGTCTGCCAGCAAATATATATCCCTTATCCTTTCATAAACTAATAGCGGAGATAAGTGGTCTTTTTATTGAATTTCAGATTTCTGTTCAAAAGAGATCATCCGACCAAAACTAAAAAATAGAAAAGAAATCAGCTCAGTTCGTGAATGAACTTGCTTACCTATATTATCAGCCCCTACGTATTAGGGTTTCCTTATTGAGATCCTTTATTTTCTCCATAATATCATCATTGGGAGCTCTCTTCAACTCCACTTTCCTTTTCCTTATGATGTACCTTATCAATACCTTCATTTGGATCATCCTCATCATTTTTTCTCATTTTACAGAGGTGCATCTCCATTAATTTTAGCTACCACTCCGTTCTCGATTTGAATGCTGACCTTTTTTTTCTGTAGGAATTAAATGTGGTGGATGTAGTGGTTACTTTGTTGGTGTTGATAGAGGTGCCTTGTCTGGTCTTTGAGTTTGCAACTCCCTATAAGTGACATATTTCTCTCATCTCCTCTTCGTATACTTTTAACGCTTCCTAACTTGTTTTCTAGCAGAAGAGATAATGGATATACCAAGATGATAATGCTCTTCTTCTTTGTGGAGTTCCTACTCATCTGCCGTCCTACAATATCTAGAACTATCAAAATGGACTTGGCCTATTAAGTCGTCCCAATGCAACCAATGAATTAAGTAGGGTTGGGCCTAATTATTTTTTGGCCCATTTAGGAACAATACTTTTTGCCCAACCTCATTTGGTCCGCTAACCTCGTGGGCCCAATCCGCAAGGCTTAGAGTCTAGCCCATCTTTTGACCTTTTTTTAAACATTTTGGGGTACTTTGTTGTTGATGGACTATTTGTTTTTGTTTTCTGTGTCATGTGTTTATTGCACCCTTTTGATTCTCGATCTTAATTTTCAAATTTTTCTTTAGGATGTCTTAGAGTTGGATTTGTTGAAAATATTTGGGATCTAGAGAGTTCCGTCTAGAGGTTCCATTTGAGATTGCCTATTTTGGAGTTGATTTAGCCCAATTATTTTTTCTCTTGATTTTTCCTTGAAATTCATTCTCGATCTCAATTTTCAAGATTTTATTTAGGATGCTCTAGAGTTGGATTTGTTGAAAATATTTGGGATTTAGAGAGTTACTTCTCGAGGTTTCATTTAATATTTCTTATTCTGGAGTGGATCTAGACCCATCTTTTTTCTTGTTTTTGCTTCGCAATTAATTTCTGTATCACATTTCCTTGCAGCTCTTAACCTTTTTTTGGCATTTTTTGTTGTTGTACTTCTATTTGTTTGTTTCTTCTTATTCATTTGTTTATTTCTCCATGTTGATTCGAAATCTCATTTTTCAAGCTCTTCTTTAGGTTGTTATAAAGTGGATTTGTTAAAAATATTTGGAATTTGGAGAGTTTCATTTAGAGGTTCTATTTGAGATTTTTTATTTGAAGCTAATCTAGAATCCTCTAATTTTTTTCTTGATACTGGTTAGCAATTAAGTCCTCTATTCACATTTTTCGTGCCGGCTATGATTCATTTTTGATGATGTTCTCTCTGGGATGCCTGGTAAGTGAGCTTTTCTTTTCGTTTTATTTTTTTCATCAAAAACTATGTGATCCACATTGAGAATGATCTTTTCCTTCCATGTAACTTTGAACTTAAAAAGACCGATATAATAGAATTAGCATCCTAAGGTGAAAATATCATACATTGAGCATCAACCAATCCTAACAATGTAAAATTAAAATTAGGGCTTGGATTTGATCTCGATGTTGCATTGCTTAATTCATTCTTGTAGTTGCTTCTTATTTCTCTTTGC